ACTGAAATGAAATGATTAAGAAATGAAAGTTTGCAAACTCACCATTGTTAACCGGTAAAACTAATGGCAGTAGTGCCACCTTGTGGAGATAAATACAAACAAACGTACTATAAAAATAACACGAAATACAAACACCTAATGATACACACAGTAAATATAAAATCTTATTTAAACTAGAACATTTTTTAATGTAATTAATAGACTGGGTTAGCGAATGATTGTGTTATATATATAAAATAATTGATTCTCTCGATGCGGACTGCGTAGACTGGTACTTGCTCCCACCTCGATTATTCGATGGGGGTAAAAGTGGGAGTGAGTACCAGTCTACGGACTGCGGAGAGTGCGGGGCTTATCTGAACTCTGACGTCATAGGTCGACAAGACCCGTTCAGAAACCAAATTCTTGTTTTCAAGGTTTATTTGTTTTCCAAAACCTAATTTAACAAGGCTACCCAATAACAGTAATTCTCAACAGTTTACTTCAATACTTGTGACTGTAACAAACGCTGCAGACATGGCACTCAGTGATGCTGATGTACAGAAGCAGGTGAATAATTTTATTTTTCGAGTTGACCTGCCCGTGGGCTGTCCGCATAACGCAATAATTAAAGCCAATATTATTATTATTAATATTAATATTATAATGTAGGGCCTACTGACGCTCATAGTCATAGTTTCGGAACGTACTCTGGGTACGGTCCGGTATACCGGAACGTACCCTGTACTATCTATATGCCGGACCGTACCTCGCCTACTCACTAACGAGTCTAGGGACTCGCCTACGCCTACTCCCTAACCCTAGGCCTAACCCTAACCCTAATCCTAACCCTAGGGCTTAACCATATCAAATAGAGACCAGGGTACGTTCCGGCAGTACCCTGGCCTGCGGGGACATACAACCCTGGTGGTTCAAGGATAGAATAACATTGGTCCCAATAAAACAATGTCATTTACATCAATATAAATATATTTAATATGTTATATCAATATAATAGGTTTAGGGTTATGGTTAGGGTTATGGTTAGGGTTATTGTTAGGGTTAGGGTTAGGGTGAGAATTAGGAGTTAAGGGTTAGGACATTGGTTTTATTGGGACCCATGTTCTCTATCCTTGGCCACCCTGTGAGCTACGCGACACGAACTATGGTAAATGTATGGCCTCCAGTCGTCGCGTAAACACGGCCTTAGCGGAGCTAGTCTAGAGTAGAAGACATGACCCATTGTGTATTGTAGACATAAAGTATTGTGGGACATGTTAACTATACTAGGGCCGCATTACCTAATCAATATTAGCAATAAATTATAGGTATTTCTGATATTATATTTCTGAGCTGCAAAATGGCAGTTGACAGGGCACAAAATACACAGGCTCTTGAGACGTTTCAGTAATAAAATGATACGAATTGTTTTTACTATCAATGTTATAATGTATATCTATTCTCTTTTGCCTAATATTATTACTAATAATTCCTCGTAAATACCATTGAAATGCTGCTCTACAAGATACAGTCTCACTGCATGAACGCCACTGTGCACAAACTCACACTGTCACAGAAAGATATGAGCATGTAGAAAAGCGTGAGCACTAAATTTACACAAATTCACAATGCTCGCTTCGTTTCACACCATCAATGCAATAATACACAAACAACCACGTACCTCCATGTTGGTACGTATCTATGCGTAACCAACTGTTCACTTGTTCAAATTATAACCCTTGTCATTTTGTATAACCTAATTTGCAGTAATTCCTGCAGAAAACTACAACTCCACAGCAATGTAAATGGAAGCAACTGTTTATTATCTAAAATTCCTTAACCGCATTACTCAATAGTTTGGTCAATGAATATCGTCACGTGTGTGACGTCATTCCTGCGTAAATCATGCTGACTTGGCTTAGAGCTGAGTGACGGGCCTGTGATGGAGCTCAGAAGCATGGAACACTTGGATCGAGAAGGCAAAGTGCCGCCATCACTCATATAAGGATCTGCTTCCAATTACATTGCCGTGAAGTGGGAGTTTTGAGTTTTCTGCAGTACTTATTTTACTAGATTTCTCTGAGTAAATTGTGTTCTATCCAATTGCAAGGGCGATAATTCGACCATTCCACATATGCAGGTGGAGGCGGTTGTTTGTGTAATTTTGCTGTGATGGCGTGAAACCAAGTAAGGGTTGTGTGAATTTAGCGCTCAGGGGGCCGTTGTCAGACACATCGTAAAGTTAATGCTAATGTTAATGCTAAGATAACACTTACGACTAATGTTAATGTTACGAGAGGAGCGTTGACAGAAACACATCGCAGCTATTAGAAAACTTACGATAACAGGAACTTCATAATTTGATGTCTCAAGGCTGCTGATTGGATGAGAATCGATCACAAAATTCAAATTCATACACATTTATTATGCATCACAGTAATTTATGCCTATTATGATGGCTAACCACATATAAATAATATTTGATGAAAAACGACACGGTCTTGAATTTATTCTGCGTGCAACAAGACAAATTCTCACACTGTAACACGAGACGCGAGAGTCATGGTCAGTGCAAAAGTATTTAAAACGAGAACAAATGCCATACGCCATTTGTAAATGTTTTGTTTTGTTTCACACTCGGTATATAATTAATGTTTTTGACGTGTTTTTCAAGAAAAACATGATATTACTCATTAAAGCCGCACTATGCGCATCTACAGTCTACACGCTAATTTCTCCAGTACTAGACTAGCAAATACTTCGTGTCATGCATAATCATACTACCTTATGACAAAATAAAACTCTAGTTTCTCCCATTTCACTGCGCGTTGTCTTATAAAAGGCATTTGAAAATAACCTGATGTTGTTGACAATTCTTCGCGTTGCCCCGTGCCCAAGCAACCGCACAGCGGTGCTGCGGTACAGCGGTACAGGTGTAGCAAAGATAAAAAACATGTGACGTCACATAACCGTTCTTGGCAAATTGTTTGGCAAACAATTTAGCATTGGCGCCAGATTACAGATTTCGCACCTCTTTCTTGTGGTTTTAAGCAAACGCGCAGTGAAATGGCAGGAACTAGAGTTTATTTTGCCATAAGGTAGTGTGATTATGCATGACACGAAGTATTTGCTAGTCTGTGTACTGGAGAAATTAGCATTTGGATGCGCATAGTGCGGCTTTAATATAAAATATAATATCACTATAATTGTAATTCTTAGTCTAAATTGTTATTTTCATCTTAATATTAAAGTTACGAGAGGGTCTGGGCTCTCGTAATGTTAAGAGGATATTTGCGAGGATTTTTCATTCTCGTAACTTTACGATGTTTCTGTCAACGCGTTTACGAGTGGAAGTTGATGTTAAGACTAATGTTAAGACTAATTTTGTTTCTGACAACGGGCCCAGGCTTTCTGCCTAATCTATCTTTTGGAGTTTGTAGAGACTGATGTGCATATTGTGAAACTGTGTGCTACAGAGCGAGCATTGAACAGCATTTATGTGAATTACTAGTCGACATAGAATATATAAACATGAAGACTTTGGTAGTAAATAGAATTTGCATTTATTTACAATATTTTTAGCTCATCTGACATAGATGCAGCTTGTAGAATCGCATGAGCGTGCGTCCGTACGTCCGTCAACAGTTGGGCACAAATCTAAACGGCTCGACGTACGGATTCGAAAGTCGGCGACTGGGGGGTAATCCGAAAACTAGTTGGGATGTCGAAGCTGGGGGCAAAGTCAAAGGTTAAGGTGTAAAAAGGGGGAACATTCCCTCCTTAACTTAAGGTATAGGAAGGAAATGCAGAATTGCGCACAAATCTAAACGGCTCGACCTAGGCTCGTGATAGTCGGTGTATAGCATCATGGTAGGAAAAGCCATCACTGTGCCGAAATTGGAGGTCACAGGTTCAAAGGTCAAGTGGGCACAGGGCAGATTTTAGACATTTTCTGAGGACAATGGTCTGACGGAGCGATTGAAAAACTTTTTTGTTTCAGCGGTGACCTACCATTTTTATGGCTTTATTGAAAGGACCATGAAATGTACTTTCCGCTGACATCGGAAGAGTAAGTGTCGGATAACCTTTTGACCTTCAAAGGAGGAGTTAAACATAGATTTGTTTACTGTTGAAAGAATTTGACTGCCGGTTTGCTAGTAGAATCTATACATGCCTGCGACGTATGAGGCTACAATGTCACAGTGAAATTTCAAAAGCTAAATTTGGTTGAAGAAGGTTTATGCTCCTTAAATCGTATAATTTTATGGCATGCTGTACTGTCAGTGTGTTACATGTAACTTATGCCACTGCCAGTAGCCACTGCCAGGGCATGTGGTGTGATAGTACTGTGTAGTTTTGCCTGCGTTAATTAGTTACAGGTGGCAGCCTCTCTATTGCAGCCTGTAGGCTTGCATAGGTAAATGGATGAGTGCTTACCTATTCTGTCTTGCAAATAGTTGTTGCTACTAACTACCGATGGGAGCTTCCATCTTTAATCTTAAGACACTTAAACGTACGCGCCATCTCGTGGCAAACTTTTATAACGTCATCCCCCAAC